GGGTGATATGTGGTACTAAAATGCAGCTTAGTACCCAACTCCTCATGAAATTTCTTCCAGAATCGGGAAGTGAAGCGCACATCACGGTCCGAAACAATCGAGATCGGCACCCCATGCCGAGATATCACTTCTCTCACATAAACCTCCGCCAACTTCTCCGCCGAATAACTCTCACTGATGGCAAGAAAGTGAGTGCTCTTCGTCAACCTATCCACAATCACCCAAATTGCATCAACTCCTCTGGCAATCCTCGGCAATTTGGTGATGAAATCCATAGTGATCTGTTCCCACTTCCACTCGGGAACCTCCAATAGCTGCAACTTGCCATGCGGTCTCTGGTGCTCGACCTTCACCCTTCGACAGGTCAAAAACCTCTCGAAAAATCATGCGACATCCCTCTTCATACAAGGCCACCAATACTCTTTCCTCAAATTCAAATACATTTTTGTAGCCCCGGGATGGATCGAAAATTTCGATCTATGAGCTTTCTCCATCAATGTAGTACACGTACCGCCCACAAACGGTACCCAAATCCGGCCCTGAAAAGTCATAAGCCCTCGACTATCCGACACAACTCAGAAACCAAACCAACGACACGTTCTCTCTTCTGCATCTCCGGATGCACAGCCTCGGCCTGTGCCCCACGAATGGTGTCCAGAACTGGAGCTATCACGGTCAATCTCAAACATACATTTCGCAGTGGAGTACTCTCCGCCCTGCGACTCAATGTGTCGGCTACCACATTAGCCTTGCCCGGGTGGTACAAGATCTCACAATCATAATCCTTGACCACATCTAACCACCTCCTCTGCCGCATATTTAGGTTAGGCTGATCCATCAAGTACTTCAAGCTCTTATGGTCCGTGTATATCGTACAACGAACCCCATACAAGTAGTGTCGCCAAATCTTGAGAGCGAACACCACTGCCCCCAGCTCTAAATCATGTGTGGGATATCTCATCTCATGAGGGTTCAACTGCCTTGATGCATATGCTATCACATGTCCCTTCTGCATCAGCACCGCTCCCAGCCCTAAAATCGATGCATCACAGAATACCACAAAATCTTCCATCCCTTCCGGAATAGCTAATACCGGAGCTTCGCACAACCTTTGGTGAAGCGTCTCAAAGGAGGTCTGCTGCTCGGGACCCCATAAAAATGTAACACCCTTCCGGGTCAATCTGGTGGGTGGCACTGCGATCTTGGAGAAATCCTTGATAAACCTCCGATAGTACCCTGCCAACCCAAGGAAGCTCCTGATCTCAAAGGGTGACTTTGGCACCTCCCATCTCATCACCGCGTCAACCTTGGCCGGATCGACCAATATCCCTTTCTGATTAATGAGGTGCCCCAGAAACTGGACCTCCCGCAACCAGAAATCACACTTGGAAAACTTTGCATAAAGTTTCTCCGATCTCAAAACTCCAAGAACTTCCCTCAAATGCTCCTCATGCTGCTCTCTAGATCTCGAATATACCAGAATATCATTGATAAATACAATCACCGACCGATCCAACATCTGCCTGCATACCCTGTTCATGAGGTCCATGAACACAGCCGGGGCATTGGTGAGCCCAAAAGGCATCACCACAAACTCATAATGCCCATAACGCGTCCTGAATGCTGTCTTCTGGACGTCCTCGTCCCGCACTCTCACTGATGATAGCCCGACCTCAAATCGATCTTGGAGAACCAAGATGCTCCCTGTAACTGATTGAATAAATTGTCGATCCTCGGCAACGGGTAACGGTTCTTGACCATCAGCTTATTCAATTCTCGGTAATCAATACACATTCGATGCAAGCCGTCCTTCTTCTTCACAAACAGAATGGGTGCTCCCCACGGCGAGCTACTCGGCCGAATAAACCCCTTCCCCAGCAGCTCCTGAAGCTGCGAGGATAACTCTTGCATCTCTGGAGGTGCAAGATGATAAGGCACCTTAGCGATAGTCGCGGCTCCCGGAACCAAATCGATACTGAACTCCACTTGCCTCACGGGAGGCACACCCGGTAATTCTTCGGGAAAAACATCTGGAAACTCACACACCACCAGAACTTCATCCACTGAACTCGGTCTCCCGGAGATCACTCGCGTATCCATCACATACGCCACAAAACCCTTACAGCCCTGCTGTAAACACTGCCTCACCCTAGCGGCCGAAAAAAAGGCTGATACAGAACGTGTACCCTCACCGTATACCGAAAGAACTCCCCCACTAGGGTCTCGTATGGTCACCAGTTGACGCTCGCAGTCGATAACCGCGCCGAATCGGCTCAACCATTCCATGCCCACTATGACAC